GATCCAACTTCCATTTTCTTACTAATCAGAACGAATCGCATGCATTTTGTTCGGTGCTTTGAGCATAAATCCAGCATTAGCAGACACTTCGTTTTGGGCTCTTTGTTGGGGATGAGAAGGCCTATTTTAAACGTAGTTAATCCATCAGTGAATACTGCTCTGGTCACCGATGAATCACCAGCTGTTCTGTTCCTAACGGGATCGTAAACAATTTTACCCAACAAAACCTTGGCAGTGAGAAGAGCGCATTCATCCATGTATGGTCTGTAGAATATGAATGCTGGAATGGCATTTAACTGTAAGAAGCTGCATACTTTTGAGTCATTTATGAATTTATGTTAATGAGCTACTAGCTTTTTTCAAAGTTACTTATACTTATAACATTTACTTGGTACCATATGATCAATAATTTAATAGAAAATTATGTCTTTTTTCTGAACGAGTTGCCACATTTCTCTTGAATGTAGGCAATTTCCTCAATTGTCAATCGTGTCGAAGGAAAATATTCTAGGTAAATGCCCCCAATATTACATCAAACTTGTTCGTGTATATGAGCTACAGCCGTAGCGTTTATCTTACTTGTTCTTTCTACGTCGGTGGTGATAAGTGGTAGGGTATGCCTTTACTGCAAAGCTTTTCTCAGGTCCTTGTCAACGTCAGGGCAGCTACTGCTGTCACCTCTCGAATTATGAAGCCGACCAAAATTTCAAAGTTTTTAGAGCGTTGTCTTAATGCGTAAGTTACTTGCGTTGGATAGAAATCGACGAAAGGTCCGTGCGAAGATCTATCTGTCGTTACCTTCTTGCACTGGATGCCACAGTCGTTCCTCTTTCATTTCAATCAATGTTCGATATCTGCATTTGCAGTCACCATACGTCAAAACATTTTTTGAGGAATTTTCCACTTCCAGAGCTGCTCGAGTACTAATCCTGAAAAATGTCAAGAACGAAAATAAGATAACGGAACAGTCGTCTAACAAGCGTTGTTTTTATTGGTATTTACTGTCCAATCCATTATCTTTTTGATGAATCCATCGAAAGCCTTTTTCCTCTGCGAAGAGGCGAGAGTCCCTTAGCTTGAATCGAGCAGGAACTTCTAAAGTTCGTCTTCAATGTCGCTAAGTGCCCATGAAGGAAGTTGGTTAGGCCTTCTAAGAGAACATTCACTGATTTTTACTGGCAGAGTGGGCAAAGTACCTACTTTTTCGAATGTGGCTTTGTGTGTGTCTGTTCCTGGGTCGGTTTGTGCGTCCTCCCGAAAGTCACGTAGGCACGATGAAGAGTGTGGATGTCACGTGAGCGCGGTGAGGAAACAGTTATGAAATGGGAAAATGAACCGTACCTGTTTATATTGGTACTTCAGCAAGTCTTAGGTAAGCGGTAGTGGGTATGTGGTGCACGCGCTAACGTGCGTAGGCCAACTGGTAAGAGATATGTCGTAATTATGCTGAATTTACCATTAACTTTAGGGAGAAGCAGATGTTGGTAACATGCATTTTGTTCCAAGCTTGATTAATGCGCTACTGTATAAAGCAAACTCTGGTGGAGTAGAAAGAGGTAGCTTGAAGACGTGAGCTGGTAGGCGGTTCATGGAAAAACTTGCTTCCTCGGTGCAGCCATAATCTTGAGGTATAAAATGTTGATTCCCTGCAAAACAACTTTTTATCACTACCACTCCTTTGGTGGGTGCATGGAAGATAACGCTATCATTCTTCAGTCAGTCCATTTCGTTTCTGCCCGAGTAATGCCTGCTCAAACCCGGTCGTTTTATCCAATCAAAACTTATTTTGCGATCTGGTTTTAAGCCGAGTTGCTTCTGGTAGTATACGAATCCTACAAGGGTTTTGCATCACTGCTACCCAGCTGAGCCTATCACTAGAAATTTGGTGTGTGGAGACAATCGCCTTACATTTAGGATGACGAATATCCTGAGCTTTTAATGATATATGTAATTTCGCAAAGCTTTGATTACTTCTTGATTGCTATGTTCCATGATATGACCAAAATTTAAATCCATTCACAGTTCTATTTCTTATTGAACGCTCAAGTTGCAATATTTTTGTTCTTTCTATTCCTAGCTTGTACTGGGAGGTAGCTGTACGTCAAGACGCGGTATTTTTCCATAACCAGTTGGGCTACCATGCCATGCCCACTCGCGCTTACCTACGACTTGTTAGAGTACCAATATAAACGGTATCAGTTGACTTCCCATTTCATAAATGTTCCCTCACCGCGCTCACGTGGCATTCACACCTTCATCGTGCCTACGTGACTTTTGGAAGGATGCAGAAACGGGCATACAAGCAGACACACAAGTTAGCTTTATATAAAGAGAGATGTTTAGTCGGTGGACTTCACTACCTTTGCATAACGTTTCGAGAGCTCTGTGACGGTAAGCTTTGATGGCTTCAAACGTGTCCAGCTATTTGTCTCGATATTCGATTTGTTAGAAGTCTCATTCACTATGATAGCGGAACTGGCAAACTACATTTTACAATACAGTTTACTTTACAATGTAATCGTTTAACGGTTTTCATGTGATTTCTATTGAAGCAAACAAATAGACTGTAGATTGAAGGCCTTCTCTCACACCCATTTCAGGGCTGGATCGTGTTTGTGACGAATATCCATGAAGAGGCCACTGAGGAGGACGTGCAAGACAAGTTCGGAGATTATGGCGAAATCAAGAACGTGCACCTGAATTTGGATCGAAGAACAGGTTTTTTGAAAGGATATGCGTTAGTGGAATTTGAGACGCAGAAGGTTAGCCAAATAAGTTTTTATTTCTGTCAATATACCTACAGACTATTGATCGAGTGATTTCATGCGTATTTCAGGAAGCAGCTGCCGCAATCGAGGGTCTTAATGGTGAGGAGCTGCTCGGCCAGAAAATCGCTGTCACTTGGTGCTTTGTAAAGCCTCCGCCAAGTAAAGGAAAGAAGTAGCTCAAGAAACACATCGGCTTGCCTACTACATTGTTATTTTGACAAGCCCAGCAACTAAATGTGTAAAATGAGTGTTTATCTTTGATTTTAACAATTTATCTTTGTTGTTTCTATAATTATTATTACCAATTATTCTTTTCGATGTACGATGATCTTTTGCACCGCCACGTGTTTTCACTCGACGACTTTAGTTCGTTTTCACCTCGTTATGTTGCGAATAAAGAGTGGATTATCGTTTGATTATGTAGGAAATGATGTTGCTGTTGAAGCAGCTTTTGTACATATCAAAAGAGTGTTCGATTTTATTTATTGAGTTGATTGGAACGTGGGCGGAGCCTTTGGAGCCATGACGCNCTCCCCGTGAGTGACTTCTTTCTTAAAGATGGGCGGCTCACTCTGGGGAGCGCGATGATCTATAGGATTCCACCTGCAAGATCATTTTTGCACTGTTTCGATGCCCTTTTAAAAGTTTCTGGTTTTTTACCCCACTTTTACTCCATTTCTGACCTTCGCGTTTCAGGGTTGTTGTACTGATCGCGTTTGTAGTTTCAATTTTATCATTTACACATTATTAAGCTTTCTTCAGGGGATGCTCCGTAGCGCTATCCGAGCCGTCTCTCGAACAGCCGGAGCTGTACAGGCCGTGCGTGGTCTTTCAGTGAGTCCCATCCTGCAAACAGTTCGACCACTTGGCCCAATGTGTAAACTACCCGAATTCAAGGGAACAGCAGTGGTTGACGGGGACTTCAAGGTATGCAAATCAACTGCTTTCATGTTACAGCGGCTAGAAAGAACTGATGAGAAGCTTTAGTTATTCTTTTCTTCTTTTTTGTGAAGTTTGAAAGAACCAGTTCCCTTCAGGTCATATCTTCCAATGATTACAATGGAAAGTGGTTGATCATCTTCTTCTATCCACTAGATTTTACTTTCGTTTGCCCAACGGAGATAATCGCCTTCGGAGATCGTGCCAAGGAGTTCCGTGATCTCGGTTGCGAGGTAAAGTAGGAGACCACTTTTGTAGAAAAGTGTTTGTGGCAGCTTTAAGGCCAAGTTTTTCATTATCGGATACATTGTGTCAACTACTGGCCGATTGACCTCTGTTTTAGGTTGTGGCTTGCTCGTGCGATTCCCATTTCTCGCACCTGGCCTGGGTTCAGACCCCACGTAAAGAGGGAGGATTGGGAGATATGAATATCCCAGTCCTTTCCGACTTCAACAAAAAGATTGCCCGAAACTTTGGTGTTTTGGATGAGGTACGTGAGATGTTTACATTTCTTGCTCAGAAGGAGTCATAGCGGTACTGATTCAAGGAAACCGGTCTCTCATACCGTGGTCTGTTCCTTATTGATCCTAATGGAAATGTACGTCACACTACTTGCAATGATTTACCAGTTGGACGCTCTGTTGACGAGGCTCTGCGTGTATTGAAAGCATTCCAGTTTGTGGAGAAACACGGAGAAGTGGGTGTTCTTCTAAAAATTCTGGCGTGCTCAGTGTAGAGGAGGCATTCAATCCATTGTACATTCAGGTTTGTCCTGCTGACTGGCATGACGATGCGCCAACAATCAAGCCAGGTGTCAAGGATAGCAAAGAGTATTTCAGCAAAGTGAACAAGTAATAGATAATGATTCCCCAGTGATTAGAGAAACATAGTCAATTCCTCGTGTATGTTCAACTCTTATGATCAGATATTTTCGTAATGTGTTTAAATGTGTTTGTGTTGACTCGATCATACGGTTATTTAAATTGGTGCATTTGAAGATAAATGTATCCTCAGTTTTTTGTACGTTGCGCATAGGCTTATCCAGGATTACTTTCTGGAGAGATTAAAGGTCGTTAGAGGAGTTATCGTGAAGGTCGTCTTTAGAATGCCGGGTGTCGGTGATGAACTGTTTGCGATATACGGTACAGAGTTTGAAGAACTGGAAGATGATGAGAGTGAGCAGCTTTATTTTGTTGTTTGTGTATTTGGCCTGGGTCTGCTGAAAGCTTTCTCCCGTAACAGCTTGAACGAATTTGACGTTCTTCTTCGCTCCAACCCCCTTTCTTCTGTCTGAAACCAAAATTGGCCAATCTTGCGTTGAGAAGTTCCTGCCATTGAGTCGTCTTGATCAACTCGTGCGTGGCTTAGCGATAGTTTCGCGGGACGTTCTTCATTTTTCGGATCAAAAGCAACTGTGCATACTCTACTCGCTAGTTATTGTAATACTTAGTGTTGTTGCTCACTATTTTAGGGGAGGTGACTTTTTCAAAGTGGGTATTAGGGTGATGTCCAGGGATAGACTTCCTTCCATTACATTCGACCTTTGTTCGATGGGGCCGTGTGCAAATTTATCGAACTATGGGAACCAGGGGTGAACTAGCTGACACTAACTTTGACTTATCGCTGGCTATCACGTGATGTTGTCCGATTCGTTGACGTTCTTCCAACCAGTAAATGTACAGACGCCCATTGTCGAGCGCTTGGAGGTTGACAGGGAGGTTGATAACCTTTTAGAAAACTCATGAGGCGCTGTTGAAGCAATATATTCCATCCATTTTTTTTCAGAAGTCTCAAGAAAGCCAACCGGTATACAAGATGAGATTGTAACTGATGAAAATGGAAGACGCAGGTGAGTTGTCATTCATGCGTACTAATCAAGGAATCCAATAATATGCTCCTTTAAATCTTATATGTATAATACGAGCAAGCAGTGTTTTCTCATGATGCTCACCTTTTCACTTTTATTTCGATCTATCTTATTTTCTGAACTTGCATTTTTGTGATTTTCGAATAACTCAACATCGTCTCACTATCTTATTATTTGTGCTGTTGATGAGTGATTTTTGAAAGGGTTTGTTCGTACACGACTGTTTCGAAAATCTTTCGGTAGTTAATATCGAAATACGAAAACACGTTTAATTTTAGTATACGTGTTTGGGAATTCAAATTTGTTTTGCTCACCTTAGCGCTATTATGTAGTTCTTTTGATTTCTGCAAGAGCCCGATCGCCCCAGTCTTCTGAAAATGTGTTTTATTATCCTTGGAATCGAATCCTCTCTTCAAACGCAAAAGAGAGCAGTTGTACATTAAGTTTTTTGGATGGTAAGAGGCTCAAACTATCGATGGTTGAATCAGCATGTGTGGGTATTGTGGGTGTATATTATGTATCGCTTTACATTTTTTTATTCACAAGATGAATATATCTCGACTTGTGGTATACCTGATATTCAAGCGAATTTCAGGTTTCACGGGGCTTTCACTGGCGGTTTCTCAGCGGGATACTACAATACGGTTGGCACTAAGGAAGGTATTTCATTAAAAACTTAACCACAATCGAATAATACAACTGTTTTTAACATAAACCTTGATCATAAAGAATCGGAACTTTTCTAGCGTACGGTCTGGATCAGAGTCTGATCAGACACATTTAGAGCCGGCTCCGAATTACTACATATCATTGCAGGATGGGCTCCTCAGGCATACGTTTCTTCACGAGATCAGCGAGCGGCTAAGTTTCAACAGAGGGCCGAAGATCTTATGGATGATGAGGTTCGCATCTGTTTCGTGTCCTACAGCATTTATAAATACTCCTTTATGTTATGAGTGTTTTTTAAAGCTTGAGGTTGTTGATTGATTGGGTTTTTCGCGATAGTATGACCGTGTCAACAATTGGCTGGAATTGAAGTCATTCTCCACTTTTGGTAGGTTGTAGGATACAAAAATTACTTTTGTCGAATGATCACTGTTTCCCTATTTGGGTGATTTTCTGAATGTTTGGGAATATCAGGCTGCTAAACCCAACACGGTAATTTCTGAGGCATTGAGATTGATGTAAACGCTTCCCTCCTTGTGTTTCCATGAACATGAAATCTACATTAATACTGCACACTAACTTGCCCTGTGTTTATAAGTGTTCGATAAGAAATAAAGTTTACCCATCCATATGATTCAGTAATATACCATAGGAATCGTCAAATTCTCTCATTAACAGGATCTGGGAGAATTTGGTATAGGCGCGCGACGAATTCGTACCGCTGAAGATTTTGGTTCTGGTCGATCGGCAGAAAAACGAATGGCATGGGAGCACGACGTGACGAGCAGTTCCAACACAACAATGGCCATGCAACTGGAAAATATCATAAGACCAGTGAGGTAAGAAGGAAATTTCTGATTTTCTGCAATATTTCTCTTCTACCGATCTTTTGGGGAAAAGTCTTACCCTTTTCTGAAAGAAGGCGACCGAGGCGCTGTCTCTTTGCTACGATTTCCTACTCGTAGTATCTAGTATTTACGGTAGCTTCTTCGAGAGGCCATCGTGGTGAATACATATTTTCTCTCTATTGAGAACTTGTTAGAGTTTAAATCTTTTTGTTGAATCCATGTCCTATGCAATTTTCCTTTAAGAATCTCTTTTTTTTCTGAGGTCGTGATCATAAATTCGAGAAATTCGTAAGCCATGAAGTTTGTTTTCAAGGGATTCGGTTGGGAAACGGATGCTTCGATCAATGGGCTGGCGAGAGGGACGAGGTGTGGGCTTGACTACGGCGAAATCGAAAAGGAAATGTGAGTTCTCGGAGTTTAGGAAGAAAGCTCAAACATTTCATCGCTGCTTCCTGAGTTGAAAGCAGTTTTTAAAGGAAGCAATTTCATTCTATCAGAAAAACGGTCAAATCGAAAAGATTTTAATTACAGTGCTGCTATCGCGGTCGTTAGATGGAGCATCTGCTTTTCTGTTTAGAAGAGTTTTCGATTCGAGTTAGCCTCGTTAGGCTTGAATTGTTTTATGTAGTTGACGACGTGGACACGGAGCAGATGAACGCAAAAGCCCCAGGTTTCGATCCGGCGGCAGAAGACGTGCTCATGACCCGGTTGCGCTCGGTGGAAGGTGTCCATGGACTTGGCTACGAGTCAATGAGTGCGTCATCAGTGCTTGACGAGCGTTATGGCCGCATTGCAACGGCGTTCAAGACCAATGCGAAAAGTCGCGGTATAAGAGGACAGGTAAAAGGGCTTGAATGATTAATGAGTTGCATGCTACTTGTTTCTTGTTTTTCCGTTCATTTCGTAGTTGTAGAAGGAATCGTTTACGCAAAGACACCTTCTATCAAATCAGAAATCCTATATTCTGATCAAATTGATAATAGTGACTTTTTGAAGGCGGGAAGATGAAAATTTTATGCGGTGACCTCTAAAATTTATGACAGACTGCTTGCAACAGATCGCTGAGTTAGCAGTATCTGAAATTTGTTTTGGTTAGCTCATGAATCTACTGCAAGGCTTGAAGTTTTTTTTATTTTGAATAATGCTAGGGATAGTTTGACGACCTGTTTATCTATTGGGAACATCAAGTTCCAGCATAGGACCGTATATCTTTGTCAATATGAGTAGTTTCAGCTTTTTTGTTACCGGTCAATAGCATCAACTTCACGGTTGATGTTTTCAGGCGTTCGGAGTTGGAGCGTTTGAAGAAGACGACGAGAATATCTACTCGAACTATGATCTGAATCAATTCGATTTCGCTTTGGATGCACCTGGGACGTCAGAGGAAGGTGGAACTGCTCCTGACACCACATTCGTCATGTCCAACAAGGTGAACTTAAGTTTGCTCTGATAGGTATCAAATAAGGGAGGGGCAGATAGCAATAAAACTACCAAACATTGGAAGGAGTGAAAATGTCTTTAAAGTCATTTTATAGGATTTGGATAGTAAAGAACATTATTTAGCGATTGAATCCTCGCAAGTTTTATGCGCCTCCTAAACTACCGCCGAATTTCCGCCCGACACACCGTGCAAAGGCATTAGAGCCAGCAAAGCTGCCGCCGGTTTTGCAAGATGCCATGAAAACGCTGACAAATATTCAGAGAGCGAAGTGAGTACGGTAAAATTACAGTCTTTTGTAGAGATTATACAGAATAGTTGTCTTCGAAGCCATTCTTTCCACAACATTTGTCTTTGTAAGCTCTGCCTGATAGGTACGCGTTATCCTTAAACTTCTTCTTCTTCCCCCTAGAGTTAATTCAGCGCCGTCGCAGGGTCCGCTGTTCTTGTCAGCCGTCTCCATTTCATTCTATCTACGGCATCTTCTGCCGTCACCTTGGCTTCGGCGAAGTCGTTCTTGATCACGTCCCGCTATCTCTTTTTTGGGGCTTCTCGTGGTCGCTTACCTTGACCCGCATTATCCCTAAACGTACATACCATGAGGGTAGCATGGGGTAGCGTATATCTGCTTGCGGCTGAATTAAACGAAATAATGCTGTTCAAGACTGTTGGGCGAAGACAGAGTATCTGTAATGGAGCTCGTAAGCGACAAGGATCGAAAACGCCTGGAGCGACATCGAAGTCGATGGGATCAGCGCGAAAGAAGCGATGGCGCAGACGACTGGAAGAGCAGCAAGGTAAGTTATACGTCTACAATTTGAAACTTCTCCCTGATATCTGTTTGGAACTTCTAATATATTGTATTTTCTAAATTTATTCTTGCATTCCACTGATAATGCTATAATTCAATAACAGGAGCGAATTGAATTTCCCGATGAGCCAATGAAACAAGCACGATTCAAGGAATTTCTGAAGTACCTACGACGAGGTCAGCATAAGTAACTCATTTATTTTAATGCTTGTCTGTCTTATTACCCGAGTTTCGGGTCAATTCTGAGTCGTCGTGTTTTCTGAATCGTTTACCTTCGATCTCAGCTCTGGGATACTGTTCAGGGATATTGAAACGTTTTGCCCCCGGCTTGTTGAGATACTGGAACAAGTTCAACAGATTTATGATTGTGACAGTCTCGAAAGTTAACTGAGCTGTAAACGTTGATGAAGAATAGGAAAATCAACGTTATTATCTCAGTTTGTTGCTGATACTCTTCCTTCAGGGTTGGTTCTACCGCAACCGAAAGAATTGTCCGTGTGGGAATGGGAGTCGGAAAAGAAGGAATTCGAAGGGAAGTTGACATCAGAGGAGCGCGGAATGTTGCCGGAGGTAGGCTGTTACGTGTTTCCTACTACGTCTTGTCGATAGTGTTCTAAACTTTCCTTGTTTCGTCATAATTTTGGAACTACATTTTTGTTCATCACATTTCTTGGGAATGCACAAAGACCGCATTCATTCTTTTCAACGTTTGACTTTATCGTCGTCACATGTCGTAATGAATTCCATGAGCACCGCAGGGTAATATTAGGTTGTAAGGAAAGTTCTGGCCGTTCCCACGCACGCGCCAAATGAATTCAAATTTTGGCGTTTGTTCATCCAGACTGATCGACATATTGTGTTCCTTAGATAAGTCATTAGTTGCTCATTCTGTCATAGCGCTTTTCCCAAAGTCTGTAAGGTTTTGAAATCCTTAGGAGGTTTTTTTTAGCAGAATGGATAAGACTGCTTTTTGAACGGTTTTACTTTACGAGTTCAAACTTGGTCGAACTGCGAAGGATGCAGCCACAAACATCAACGTT